AGCACTGACTCACAGAGGGCATGGGGGTATTTGGGTGGGTGTGTGGGAGCCTACCAAGAGGCCCCCAATAGTCACACAAGCAGGCACAGTGACAGGGAGCACACTGGGCTGGAGATGGAGTCACTGACTCAGCAGTGCTCAGCAATCTCTGGCAGCCTGGGGAGGCTGCGGTCATGCTGGGAGTATTGTTCAAGGGCCCCCAACCTGCTGGCCTTGGCCAATACCGGCAGTCTCACCCTCCCTCCCCCCTGCACCGAAGGCTGAACTTCTGTTCTGTTTGCTCCTGACTTAAACTAGGGCACTTACAGAAACCTGCATAATTTTGAGAGATTTTGAATGATTTGCAGGGTTTTGAATGTCTATACCTAGCTTCTTTCAGACAAGATTCAGCATCATGTCCTTTTCTTTTGTGGATGCTCATGTCCAGCCCCATGTTCTTTTCTGCCTCAACTCCCTTTTCTTACACTATTTTGCATTGTTCCCAATGCCCACAGTGTCAGAGTGCTGTCCACCCTCTGTAGGCTTTGGTCTAGCCTACATGATTCACTTGCCTGACAACTTCTAATTGCTTTATCAAGAGCAGTTAGTTCTAAGACTAATTCTAAGACTTCCAGTAGTTTCCCTCTGAGTGTTATGGCTCAACTCTCAATCTGGTATCAAATCCCATGATCTGGCCTCTTACCAAGAACTCCATTAACACCTCAAACTTGCAAGATTCTAACTTCAGCCTTTTCTGTATTTCTTTACCTTCCTTTTCCATGCCTGGCTTCAGACATATTGGTCACATATTTATTTCATTCTTGCACAAAACTCAGTATTCCTCAGATTTCTGTAGTCCAGTTCATAGTTTGCTTCCTCTGCTTGAGTTGACGGAAAACAATTAAAAACATTAATGGCACCTATACACTAGCAGTGAGGCTGCTCCGACATGCTGTAATTATGGCACGTTGGAAAAGACTCAATTAAATGAGTCTGCTGGAGCATTGTAATTACTGCACTCCAGCAGCTTCCAGTGTCTCGTGTATCAGCATTCTTGCACTTAAAAATGACTGCAGGGGTGCCTTATCTAAAGCTCATTCGATGAGCTTTAGATAAAGCACCCTCACCAACATTTTTAAGCATGGGGACACTGCTACACAAGGCACTTTGGGCGCTTTAATTAGAGAGGCTCCAAGAGCCACTGTCATTAAAGCGCCCCCCTCCTCCCCCACACACACACTCCCAGAGCACGTGTATAAATGCCCTAAGTGCTTTAGAACCAGCTCTCGTCAGCTATTAAGCTGCCTTCTGATTATCTTCCTTTTTGCTTGGAGATACAGTGTGAAGTGCTGTTTAAACCTTCCCCAATTGTCCTCCCCACTTCCAGAGAATTTGATCTCCCCTTAGGGTTTTAAGAGCTCCATTCTTTCTCCTCAGGGTATTTTCATAGTTTGTTTCACTCTTGGTATCACTTGCTGATAAGAGCCACTACAAGCCAAACAGATTGACTGAGTTCTGCTTTATGGAGTGTTTGAGTTTTAACTGATCAGCATTATATATTACAAACTTGCACACAACCCAGCAGCCAATTCCTGCCGGCCCCTGTCAGAGCCTCTTTAATGGCCCATGTCAGAGCCTCTTTAAGGTACGATTTCCCCCATGCACCAGGATCACCAGCAGCTGCTTTGTGGGCCCCATTCCTCCTTTCCCCACCATGCCTGGGGGGCTCTGTTTGCACCTCCATTTTCCCCTTCCTGACGTACCAGGATCCTTAATTTTCTCCCGACGTCACAGGTATTTGTGTGCCCCCCATTACCTTTTCCATATATAGTCGTATAACCTGGGGGCTGAGGGTGGCAGTGGGCACAAGCCCCAGTTCAGAGGGGGTGCCAGAATGACAGGCTTCAGGAAGCTCACGCTGCCACCATCCCACCAACCACAGCGGCACCTGTTTGAAGAGTTTGCACAGAGGCAGCAGCAGCCTGAGCTGCATCACTCCTGGATGAGCTCCTGCCCGAGAAGGTAAATACTTTCTTCCCTCCCTTCTGCCCCAAGTACCCAAATTTCAAGCTATGCCGCTGTCCACGTGCCTCCCCATTCCTCCTCTTCTCTCTTTCTTTCCTTCTTTCTGGAGGTCCAATCAGAGAAATACCATGTAAGGCCCTGGTAAACTTGTCAGACAAGGGATACAGAAGTACAGATCTGTCCCAGTAGAATTTTTTCATTTTATATAGAAATTTTTATGTGCCTGAGCACCTCCAAGCCCCTTGGGCATCTTGATGAGCAGTTAGACAACTATTCACCTCACACCTGCTTTACTTCAGAGAACATGGTATGCTGGAATGACTCATGGGACATTTCCCCACCCCATCTCATTTGCACAGCAGATGCTAAAGTGAGGCAGGGCAGTGCTTTTCACCTTCCTGCCTTTTTAGTATTTGTTAATAGAGAGAGACAAACCAAGGACATTGGTGTGAGATGGTGTGGGGGAAATTTCTAGTCATTAAAAATAATGAAGAAAAAATGTGAATTTAAAAATAGAGAAAGATTTGCATAAAACATTTTGGTGAATCATATCTGAGCTGTTCTCCTAGACTCAGAGAAAGAGCGAGAAAGTGAGTTTGCTTTGACCATACAGGAAATGGATAGACACAGTGGTATGGTGTGTTTCCAGCTCTCTCCCATTCTGTAATTGTCTTGCTGCCCTTCCCTATACCCAGTGAAGGACCTGTTTTATTTACAGTAGTCTATCCATGGGTGTTAAAGGAAGTGAGTGAGTGTAATTGTCAGTGGGAAGATGGGACTATTTGTGGTTGGGTAGCAGAGACTGTGACATGCCAGTAAGAGGCACATCATCTGCTGGCTGGAAAATTGGCTCCGGGGTCGGACCCAGAGGGTAGTAATTGATGGAAGTCACTCATCGTGGTGTCCTGTGACCAGTGGGGTCCCCCAAGGCTCTGTCCTTGGACCCATACTGTTCAACATCTTCATTAATGATGTGGACACTGGAGTCAGAAGCGGACTGGCCAAGTTCGCCGATGACACCAAACTTTGGGGCAAAGAAAAGGAGAGTGTGTAAATAGCAAAAGTAGAGGTACCACATTTTGGAGCCAATTGCTTTAGAGAATAAGTGTGTTTTTAAAAACGGATTAAAATAGATTTCTGCAATGGAGGAGCAGGGAGTGCACAAACATTTTTATTATGCTTCTCAAGCAAATCCTGGGACGTCATTCTCCCCCTGTACTCGGCCTTAGTGAGGCCGCAGCTGGAGTACTGCGTCTAGTTTTGGGCTCCACAATTCAAAAAGGATGTGGAGAAGCTTGAGAGAGTCCAGAGAACAGCCACGCGCATGATCAGAGGTCAGGGAAGCAGACCCTACGATGACAGGCTGAGAGCCCTAGGGCTCTTTAGCCTGAAAAAGCGCAGGCTCAGGGGTGATCTGATGGCCACCTACAAGTTTATCAGGGGTGACCACCAGTATCTGGGGGAACGTTTGTTCACCAGAGCGCCCCAAGGGATGACGAGGTCGAATGGTCACAAACTACTTCAAGATCGTTTCAGGCTGGACATAAGGAAGAACTTCTTTACTGTCCGAGCCCCCAAGGTCTGGAACAGCCTGCCACCGGAGGTGGTTCAAGCGCCTTCATTGAACACCTTCAAGATGAAACTGGATGCTTATCTTGCTGGGATCCTATGACCCCAGCTGACTTCCTGCCCTTTGGGCAGGGGGCTGGACTCGATGATCTTCCGAGGTCCCTTCCAGCCTGGATGTCTATGAATCTATGAAATCTATGAAATCCAAAAAGGGGTCGAAGGTGTAACTATGGGGATATTTTGCATATGTAAACTAGTAACCATGAGCCCCTTTAGCTAAATAGGCAATTGGTCCCTCTTGATCAGCATCCAATCACCATCATCGAATAAAGCTTCAGAGGCAGGGGAATAAATTCATAATGCTCTTATTTAGCAGGATAATCTTATGCCTGAGGGAGGGCATGACATCCTTCCTGGCCTTTGTGACAATCAGGTGATGCCCAGATATATGAATCTGGATTTCCCCTTATGAATGCATATAATAATCCACAGTGGGTCTGGTGCTGCTCTGATAAAGACAAAGCTCTTTTTGTCTTCAGGCCTGGGTTCACCATTATCAGGTGAAAGCAAAGCAGTAACTTTGTGGTCAGAATAGGAAGCAGCTAGAAAGCAGGCTCAAAGGGGTGTGGCATTTTAAGGAATGTGTCCTAATGCAGGGACCAGAATCACAAGGATTTGGATAAACTCACTCTCTTGAACTGTACCATCAGCTGTTACCAGCCAACATGTATTTCCTCAATATTTGGTAGGTCATTTTCATGATCCATTAGTTCTTTGGTTTCTCTGCTGGAACTGCTGGCCAGAGACCTAGCTGTGATGGTGGTCTGGGCGATACATCTTCTTAACCCACAGAACTGAAACGAGACCTCCCTACTACTATGTAAGCCAATCAATAGTGACTGCATGGCAATAACTACTTTGGGGCTTTTCCGTGTTAAAACAGATGAGATTGCAGTGTTTGATCTCAGCACTAGGGGGCATGCTGGTCACTGCAACTATCCCACCCTGACCTGTGCATCAATATTACAATTTAAAGTCATATGTATCAATATTATAAAAACAGCTTGAAAACATACTGTTCCCTCTCTCTGCACTTCCAGAACTGCAGACCAGAACTCAGTGTCAAGTCCACATTTCACTCTTGATCTGCTGTCTCTGTAATGGGCTCAACCCGGTATCAGAATGGTTCTCATGTTTGGAAGGAAGATGCCTTTTCCAGTTCAGGCCAATCTGTGCCTGCCACCTGACTGTGCTTGCCTGCTAGAATAGAGAATAAAGCACCTCGCTATCCATAAACAGTGAGGAAGGCTGGACTCTCATCTAGCATTGGTCTTTTTCCTACAGAGCTGAGAGGGAAGGTGGGACTAGGCAGAAACCACGCCTAAATTTCCTTTCCTCTGACACCCTCCCTTCCTCACCTCGCTCCAAGAATTTGATTCAGAGCACACAGAAGGCAAAGCCAATTCAAGCACACACCCTGCAGTTGGAGTCCTGCAGGGCAAAAGAGGTTAAAGTTTGCTTGCCCTCCCTTTTCCCTTTGTTTTTCCTCTCATTCTATTGCTACTACCAGGAGAGAAATCCTGTCATTTAAGCATGTTCCTCTCCACATCATTCTCTCTCCTGAGCTCACTGGAAAACTTTTCAGCAGTTTGACCAAGTCTGCGGGTGCCGGCTCCACCTCCTTTTCTCCTGTGGATTAAAGAAGCTGCATTGGAAGATAAAGCTTCTTCTTGTCTTTTCTTCTGTATTTGTGAACTCTTTTGCCTCCACAGTATGGGGGCCACCATGCTGGCTGGAGTCTTGTGCTGCTTCCTACTAGGGTGCCTACTTCAAGAGAGCTTTGGCCTCATCAGAAGATACTACATTGGTGCTGTGGAGACAGACTGGGACTATGTGCACAGTGACCTGCTCTCTGTGCTGCAGGCAACAGCAGGGTAAAGCCATTTGTGTCTTAATATTTCATCTGTAATGTTTACCACTGCAATCAGCCATGCTGATATTTGTGGAAGGCTTGGCTTTGAGGAAGGTGGCACCTCAGTGGACCACAGGCATGGACCATAGTGGTGATACTAAGGGATAGATGAAACCTTTTAACAGAAGTGCATACATATACACAGAGAGGCAGGCACCTCACAGAGGCACAGGCATGTGCTTCCTGGGGGATATATCTGCTCATGTGTGTAAACACAACTGTAGATAGATGTATATGATTGTATGTATGAATGCACCTACCTGCATATGAGTGTGTGTGGATATCTTCATCTATGTGCGTCTCAGATGGTTTGTACATATGTTTGTGGGTGCAGCTCTGTCACTGCACAGACAATGTAGTGCCTGTGCCCTGCACCTTACATCATTAATGACCTCTGTGTGACATGCCTGCATTCCCAGCAGTTTAGATGTGTGGGAAATCCTGATTTATTCAAGGTTTGTTCCTTTTGCAGTCCACTTATGCAGGTGTAAGAGACTGTGTGTGGTTCAAAATAGGGGAGAATTACACGTTGTCACACACTCGGACAAACTTATAGGCAGATGCACACAAACACACTCTCAGATAAAAGATGGATGGGTTGAATCTGCATGCACACTGGTAGCTGGCTAAGGCAAATGGAAATGTATGCTTTGACGTTGATGTTGTAAGTTTCTGTCATACAGTGCAATCATTTGCTATGTCTTTTTCCATGCATTTTTTAATCTATTCTGCTCTTACATTTGTGATGCTCGCACCTGGTACAAGTGAGATAAGGGTTGTTGTCAAGATGGTTGAGATGGAATTTCCCTTTCTACTCATAGGGTGCATCTACATGAGATGCTACAGTGCAGTAGCAATGAGCTACTACACCGTAGTTTGTTGCTACTGCACAGTAGCATTGCCAGGCGCTAACTGCGCAGCGACAGTACTGTGCAGTAGTAACGAACTACTATGCAGCGTAGTAGTGTCAGGAAAAAACTGTGCAGTGGTGGTATTGTGCAGTAATGCTGGTTATCACACAGTCATTTAGTACTTGCTTATGAAAGGACTAAATCACTGCGTAGTAACAACTGTGCAACCTGCCACTTACGTAGACGTGGCCATGTTGTACTTAGCAGGGTCCTGCTCTGCTTTGTGACAGAGGAGTGAGGAGAATGCAATTGTGCGCATTCTCCATCTTATAGGGTTGTTGGTTGTAGCCATGTTGTTTTAAGGACATACACAGACAAAGTTCTTCGAGTAAATGTGGTATCTTTTATTAGACCAACTAAATAGTTGGAAAAATTGTTCTTTGCAAGCTTTCAGGTATAAAGACCATTCTACATCTCATAGATTATACAACTCATCCCATAGATTATATGCTGTGCAGGTGGCAGTGCTTCTAATTAAGCTCTCAAACACTTCCCCTTTTTTCACCTGTTTTCAGTTGCTCATAACTTTGCCTAAGTGTAACAGTTTGGGCCGATATTTCCTAGGGCTGGTGTCTTCCTCAAGATGAGCAGATATGCAAAGTTTTAGCTAAAACAATTTGGTTGCTTTAAGAATGAGATTAGAGGAGAATGTGTTGTTTTGCCCCAAGATAATGGAACGACCGTGAGAATTGTTTTGAGAAGCTCCACTGCCCACATGCTTTAGCTATGGGATTTGGCAAAGGAGTGGCTCTAGTGTCAGGGCTATGCTTTTAGCTTGTCATCTGCCAGCCCACTCAATTTTGGCTAAGTAATGAGTAGGGATCCTGGTTTTCTCTGTTAAAAAAAATCACAAATACTCTGATAAAAATTGCAAATTCTCCAATTAAAACTCCAAAATCCATGTTGTTCCACAATTAAAATGAAATGCCACTATATATACAGGTATCAGTTGAACACAATGTTTTATAGATATGTTCACAATTTTAAAGCAATTTGGAAGCCTACCAGTACCTGAATCAATACAGGCAGTCCTCGACTTACAACGTTTCGAGTTACAATGTTTCACGCTTACAACATTTATAAATTGACACCCTGTTTCAACTTTACAATGCCAGTTTTGACTTTGCAACGCTTGATCTGATGCGATACCACACCAGCAAACATGTTCGTTGCATCACTCATCTCCCTGGAGAACATCTATCCAAACTTCCTTGGACACTTTCTTTAAGAAAGCAGACAAGATTCCAGAAAAAACTGCAGCCAAGACTCCTGAGAAGGCTCCAGCCAAGAACTCAAGCAAGAGCCTTTCAAAAAGTCGAGCAAAGTCACCTCAAAGAAGTCCTTCCAAATCAACAGGATTGCTATTTACAATATAAATACATTAATGTAGCTATATTACTCATCTATAATTGATCGAGTACAAAATTCTGGGGTATTTTTGGTGAAAATAGGCCTTGATTCAGGAACAATCCTCCATTTATAACATTGTTTCTTATGAGAACATTGGTTCCAAGTTACAATGTTTCGACATAAGACCTGGTTTTCAGGAACCAATTGTGTCCTAAGTCCGAGGACTGCTTGTATTCTAATATTATAAAAACCTACATCTGTCTGTCTGTCTGTCTGTCTGTAACGCTTTATTCATTCTCTGATTGGCTGACAAACAACCAATCAGAGTGTGAACAAGTGTTCCAACAGGAGCTGGCGGCATGGTGGAATGCTGCCATGATGGCAGGGACATGGGGGACAGGGGACGGGGGGAAGGGGGCAAGGTAGGCACAGCTGGCCTCGCCCCCCTCCCACCCTGCTCCCTGATGGCAGGGACAACAGAGCATACAGAACAGGGGGGACGAGGCCAGCAGCGCTCCTTCCAGGTGGTGCTGATGGAGAGGAGGTGGGGGGAATGGGCCTGGACCCCAAGCAGCAAGAGGGAAGCGGGGAGTGGGCCAAGATTGGGGGCAGGGCCTGAGGCTCCATTCCCGCTCACTCCCCTCCCCCCATCATTCTTGATGGGCATTTGGCTAGTTTTAATATAATAAAGGGCTTAGTCTGTCCGTTTGTCCATAACGGTTTTGCTGAACTACGCATGCACCACCAAGGTAGGATTACTATACATCTGGGTTTCCCTGGACATTTCCCCTCTCTTGTTAAGTCCTCTGATTGCTGTCCAGGTGGGTTGTCCAGGATTTCCCTTTGCTCCGGAGGTGGGGGAGCAGGGAGAGGATGATCGGAGACAGTGGGGAGCGCACACGGACCTGCCTGCAGCTGCGGAGGTGTGCAGACCCAAGCGGTGCTCCCTGCTGGCTTTGATCACCTTCCCCTCTCCCACCCTGGGAGCACAGCAAAATCCTGGACGTTTGGTCAGGGCAGGGGGAGCAGGGGTTGCAGCTGCGATAGGGCAGGGGGCGAGCGGAGGGTTGCCTGTTCTCCAGTGGGGGAAGAGGTGGAGGGGAAGTGGAAAACTCCATGGCTGGGCAGTAGTGCAGTGCCTGTGCTCAGAGGGGTTGAGCAGCCAGGAGCTGCTGCCTGGGGAGGGGGATATGGAGGGGGAAGGGGGCATGGCCAAGCTGCCCATAGGGCACTGCAGCCCTATCCTAGGGCAGGGGTGCCACAAACCTCCACTCCTCTTCCCTCCAGCCTGCACTGGGGCCAGACATACTCCACCACCACCTGCATGAATCAGAGCCACTGCGCTCTGACCCCGGCAGGATGGGCATAGCTGGGGCCCTCCGGCAGAGTTGGTGGGGCAGGAGGCTGCAGGTCGGGAGTGATGGGCATCAGGGTAGGGGCAGGGGATTGTGGGTTGGGAGTGCAGGGGGCACTGGCAGCATCAGGGGGCTTTGGGTCAGGAGTGAGGGGCACCATCAGGGCCCAGGTGTCAGGGTACAGGTGAGTGAGTTTGGTGAGTGAGGGGCACTGGCAGAGCTAGGGTCAGTGGCTTGGGAATGTGGGGCACCTGGGTGGGGCGGGGGACTGTGGGTTGGGATTGCAGGGTGGGCACTGGCAGCACCAGGGGGCTGTGGGTCAGGAGTGAGGGGCACCAGCAGGGACAGGGGTGGGAGGGTGCGGGTCGGGAGTGAGAGGCATTGGGGTGGGGGTGGGGGACTGTTCATGGCAAGCAGACTGTGTTTGTCTCTATGTGTCCTTGTGCAGAGTGAGTGAGTAGAATGTGTGCCCATCTGCACGTGTGCACATGTATGTGCGTGTGCATGTGTGCATCTGTGTTCATGGCAGGAGGGAGACTGTGTTTGTGTCTGTGTGTCCATGTGCACAGACTGAGTGACTAGAGTGCGCGCCCATCTGCATGTGTGTGTGTGCATGTGTCAGTGCATATGCATGCATGTGTATGTGTGCACATGTCTGTGTTCATAGCAGGGAGAGTGTTTTTGTGTCTGTGTGTCCATGTGGAGAGAGTGAGTGACTAGAGTGTGTGCCTGTCTGCGTGTGTGCATGTGTGTGTTGGTGCACGTGTGCATATGTCAGTGCATGCATGCATGGGTCTGTGTTCATGGCAGGGAAAGTGTGTTTGTCTCTGTGTGTCCATGTGCAGAGTGAGTGTGTATAGTGCACGTCCGTCTGTGTGTGTGCATGTGTGTGTGTGTCTGTGTTCACGGGTGGGAGAGTATGTTTGTATGTTTGTGTCCATGTGCAGAGAGTGAGTGAGAGTAGTGTGTGTGCCTGTCTGTGTGCACACCTGTGTGTGCGTGCCTGTGTGTGTGTGTGTTTGGCCATAGGGGGACAGGGAGCAGGGAGAAGAGGCAGGCTTGTGCCCCTCACACCCCCAGCCCAGCATGGTCCCCCCAGCCTCCTCTGCCAGCACCAGGAGGGTCCCCCACAGCCCAGCTGCTGTGGGGGGAAGGGGCCTCCAATTTAGTGTTTGCTCAGTACACATTAATCTGCCTTTGGGTGTGGGGCTGGACACGAAGCAGTGTGGGGGACCATGGGCCTGGACGTGGAGTGGGGGGGGGGCAGCGTTGGTGCAAGGCTGGACGCAGAGCAGTGGGGTGGGGTGGGGGGTTGCAGCATGCAGGGCTGGACATGGAGTTGGGGG